CCAAAAAAAAGATTTAAAAGGTACACATTTTAATATTGGAAGTGAAATATTTCTATAGACCCTCTCAAATTTTATCCCATTAAAATACTAAGTCCTACACAGAAATAGAGAGTAGATGGCTATCCTATATAACTAAAATAATCTCTTCTTAGTTTATGTACAAAACTTAGGAAAAGAAAAAAAAAAGATTACACTGGAATTACTAGGTGATGACCCAAATTTGCAAATGTAAAGTTTATTATTTAGAAGTTCAGCTTTACTGAATATTCTAAAAATGTAATTTATTGGCAGCATCAACTGAAATGGGGAAATAACAAAAAACAAAGAAAGAATAAAATATGAAAAGAAAAATATTATTTAAAAGTACCAAATTCAATTTATCAGAAAGTCTTCGCCACGTACATTTAAACTTACTGCAAATTTTTCAGGATTAAAAGGATTTTTGTTAAGAAATTAATTTAAAATGAGAGCAAATAAAGGATCATATAGAATCAAATCCCTATACTTTGCATTCTGAAGAAAGAATGTAGCCACCATAATGATAATTAATATCATAATCTCATTACAGCTGATAAAAACAGAATCAGTTCAGGGGTTACAACCCTATTTCATGACTTAGAACATTTCAAATCACAAATAAGCAAGTAAAAGAGTTCTATCTTCTGCATCTAGAACTTCTTTCATAAATTAATATACTTGTACAGCTTATTCATAATACCTGAAGCTCCTAAAAAAATCTAGAAAACTTTTAGAACATGCATAATGTCACGTTTATTAAGAAATGCTATTTGAAGCCTTACTCTGGGTTACAGTTCAGTTTCTGGATGTCTTCATGCAAATTTGGAACCAGAGGCTGCAAAGGTGTTGAGGGAAGCATGCTTCTTTCTTGAAGAAGATTGACAACTCTTAGACCCTCTGGATGTAGACTTAATCCACCCATGCTTGCAGTTAAATGATTAGCACCTAAGGGAGTCTACAGAGATATAATTTCAAACTAAGTTTTAGAAGTGTGTAGAGAGTTGGTTAATTTCTCTTTAAATAACAAAAGTGTAATTTAAGATTTCCTGGACAATCTTTTGGTTCTAGAGAAATGTGTAAGGACAAAATCATTATGAAATATCCAATATTATCCTAATTGGTTGCAAAAATGTTCAATATACCTTACTAAAACTTTCTTCATATATATACAGTTTAAACCAAAAGGTGAAAAATAGTTTAAAAAAACCAAAAAGTTTACCGGAGTAAAGGCCTGTGGTCCACTTGCGTAATTCAAGGAAGAGGGTGGCATTCCAATTGCACTAGGTGGTGTTGTGTTCTGATAACCAGGTGGTAAGGAGGGATATGAATATCCAACACTTCGGCTCATTTTGGGATTCTTATTAGCAAGCTGTGGTGTTGCTAGAAACAAGGTAACTTTTAAGTTCTATTTAATACTCCAGAAGCTACGGTCCCCAGCCCCCAGTCTGTGGACCTATATGGATCCGTGGCTGTTAGGGACCGGGACACAGAGCCCAGCCTCCCCGTACCGCCCCCACCCCCAGAAAAAAATATCTTCCATGAAAGTTACTGAAGGAGGGGGAGCGCACAGCAGGTGAGGGGCTGGTGAGTAAGAAAAGCAGCTCTCGGTTGCTGGTATCACCGCCTGAGCTCTGCGTCCTCCCCAACCCTGTCCCGTGGAAAAATTGTCTTCCATGAAACCAGTCCCTGGTGACAAAAAGGTTGGGCACCTTGGGGACCGCTGCTCCAGAGTACTTTAAATCAACATATAAATCCATTAGATTATAGGAATAAACACACAAAAATTAGTTTGGTGTAGTTCATTTACTTTCA